CTGATGCTTTCTTATCTTCTTCTTCTTCTTGAACCCATTTTTCTCTTACTTGTACTTGGTTACCCCGTTGATGATTGTCGTTTTTTTTTTTCTTGTGCTTTTCTGTCCATATTTCTGTTTCTGCTTCTTCTCAAACCTCTCTCTCTACCTCATCACCAACAACATCCTCAAACTTCATTACCCCTCCCCATCTCTGCCTTTCCAAAACAAAAAAGCTTCCTTATCCGTAATATATTTACCAAACAAAAAGAACATCATCACCAACAACAACAACAAAAAAACATTTATATATCATTCTATCTAACCTCACAAAAATCAAAAACACTGAAAACACTCACACAACTGTATTATTAGCTCAGCTAGGCTTTCCTTTTTTTGTCATCTTGTTTTCTGTTTTTTAATGTGATTAATTAAAATAATATTTGGTGTTTTATTTGAATTTACTGCTTATATGGGGTGGAGAATGGTCTGGGTCTGGAAGTTGAAACTCATGCCTTGTTTTTCCTTTCTCAAGCTCTTGAATCAGTGGGTTGGTTCCCTCAAGTAGGATGTTACCTGTTGCACTCATGCTGTCCTACAAGCCCTGACTTGCCCTTGCAATCTACAACCCTCCCAGAACTCAATTGACACCCCTCAGAACTAAATTATTCGTCAGAAGAACTCTTTTTTCAGAGCCTTCTAGTAATCGCTCACATTGTGAACTGGTGTTGATTGTGATTTTGTGGTTAATCTAGGACTCAGAGAGGTCTAAAGCAGAGAATGGGAGCCTGCCCGAAGTGCGGAAAATTTCCGCGCGGATCTGGAAAGTGCGGATATTCGTACTGAGCGGTACAGAGCTTGTACAGTACAGAGTCCAGTCCTACAGGTCCATCCGGATTGGGATGGACCTGTTCGGACTGGTTTCATCGGTGGGCTGGGGTCGGTCAAGTGTACAGCGGGGCGGATCACACTTTGCCCCACCACAGTCCTGGCGCCTCGGCCGTCTAGGCGCCCACCATCGTGACGATACAGGACGCCTATAAGACCCTCAGGCATGCCGCCGCCCGCAGGATGACCCCGGTGGCGCCATCGGTCCCACTGGCACGCTTGGTGACACCATCAGGCCGGCTTGGGGCCAGGCGTCGTGGGGGCGCCACTCAGGGTCAGCCTGGTGGCCATATGGCCGGTGCCTGCTTGGGTGGCGTCCCATGACCGGGGGCGTACACATCGAGCGTCGGTTACTGAAGCGTCACCTGGTTGCGCCTGGGCCTGGGAAGCGAGTCAGGCGGAATGATGGCGCCTGGTTGGCGTGGCGAAGTGTTGTCATCCAGGCATGTCATCCAGCCTGAATGAACTGGGCAGCAGAGAGCAGCCTTTGGGGTCTGGGTCGTATGTCCCCCTGCTGCCTGGATTCCAAGTCCCTAAACCTATACACATCGCCAAAAGGAAGAAATCCAACAGACTGAAACTGGCTCATCCGCAAGACCGATCCCGAAATCGTTCCGCCGACCGTCAATTGTTCACCGCTCCAAAAGGACTCGGATATCATACTGCCTTTGGCTCTGACAAGCAAGACTAACTATTCCGAGCCTTCAAATAAGAAGAATTCCGAGCCTTCTTCAATGTTGTTAAAAACATTTGTGATGATCCTGGAGGCCCATGATGCAAACATAATGGCATCATCGCTCACCGTTCAAAACATGGTGAAGTTTCTCTGTGTCGCCACCGATGTGGTAGTGTGTTCTGAGAAATTGCTTCAGCTGACTAAACACCAAAGGCCTGTACGATTTCTTGCGGCCAGCCTGCCATCATCCATCCACTGCTTTTTGGAGGTTTTCTGGGAGGCTTCTTTTCACATACTAAAAGATTGCTACATCAACACACAACATCATATCAACTCAAATGGGATAATGGCTGAATTAGGTGATGGTCGAATCCCCACCCGCATTGTCCATCAATCACTGTTTCCCCCGGTTGAACACTGCCAAAAATGCTCCAAGAAAAGACCTATGCGACACAGCTCTTTGTTTGGATACCTATATGATGTTGATGGTGGTCACACCATTGTCTCTACTGTCAACGTCAGCATTTTGAATTCAACCTGAGGTGGACAAGAACTGACTGCTTTATGACATTCTATTTCTGTTAGCTTGCCAGACCAGTTATCATGTGAGCTACTCGACCCACAAAGAACAAAGGACTTTCTATACAACTTCTCAAGGGAGAAACCACACACTATTTCAAGTTCATACACACTTTTTTATGACTCACCGGTTGGCGCATCACTTCAAGATGAGTCAAATGCTACAACGGTAAGGTTATATATTTGTCTAATCACAATCTCAATAACTCATTTTGGTTTTTCTGGTGTGTCATAGGTGTTCTGTGTTCAGCATTGCCAATTTATACAACTCAACATTCATGGGTGATGACGCCCAGCAGTCCTTCTTTCCTCGCTTGTCTGTAGAAGTCTGCAAAGATGGTATGGACATTGATACATTGATATTTAATCACGCTTCAAGGGATAAGGTCCTCATGGTTCCATCTTCCGGAATTGACCAAGTTCGTTACAATGAAGCTAAGAAGCAATGTTCATCTTGGATAGCAGCAGAGGGAACTGCTCACAAGAATCATTTGTGCGGTCTCTGTACATGTATCACATATGGAGAGGAGACCAACAATCACTCAGGTAAAATAATTTACAAATTGGCACATAACTTGAAGTGTTAGCAAAGAAGTTGATACATTTTTCTCATTCTAGTGGTTCGTGCGGTGGTGACAGATGGTTTGACCATTGGCCACTGGAGATGCAGTGCTTCAGCAGCACAGCTGGAAAACTTGGCCAAAGAATTGGGCCACCCAGCACCTGATGGCCCTTGTCGAAGAACATTAGATACGGTTCGAAATCGATATTGTAGTTTTCATCTGCCTTTTCTTGAAGGTATCTGCCAGGCACAGCCCTGCATCCAACCCACTCTTTCAAATAAGAAGACCTGTGGCCGTCAATCTCACCTAGATGCTGCAAAAACCTTTGGTGCTCGAGTCAAATCAAATTTCCTACTTCACTCAATGTTAAATCGACCTGGCTCCAACTGTCCATCTGTAAAACGAGTCGGGGGAAATTGAGGATTTGGAGTCATTGCAGCAAGCGGATGAATTGGATCGAGCTGAGGAAAGTCAAAGATCAGGGGAAGAAGGACCTTCAAAAAAACCTACACTTTCCAGAGCGCGAACTCACAACGATCAACTGGCTGTGGCTCCTTGCGGTGTCATACTGGCCCGACAAACAATGTTCAACTCTGAGTCACCTAGTGCAGTCAAGGTGAATTTGTCTTTACTTCAATTTGGTGGTTCAGGTGCCTGACAAAGGCTTTTACACTCAGCTTTTCCTTCTAGATACATTTCCCACAAGCATGCCCCAAGTGATTTTGTACGACAATGCATGCAAATTATTAGCACATATATACAAGTCACCAGCGGAGGAACGCGATCAATTCACTCAAAGCATAGTTGCGGTTGATGCATTCCATTTCAAGTCGCACAAAGAGGATGACTGCTTTTGTAGGAAATGGACTGATCCGAATCTGTACCCTCAGTTGAAGAAGGATGGCTCTTGGATATTCAACTCATCAGCAGCCGAAATTGCAAACATATGGTATGGGGGTTTTGCCTCAATCTGTCGCAACATGACTGCTGTTCACTTTAATTTCTTCCTCAATGAGATGGTTAGACTTCGTAATATTTGGATATGTGAAAAGTTATCCCAAAGACCCAACGTTGTACATATTGGCACTCTCACTTTTTGATGGCAAAGATGTTGGAGTTCCTTTGAGTTGCTTTGGGTCAAAATTTCCCTTATCTGTCAAAATTTCCCTTATAAAGTGAATCTCAATCTTTATTTGAATTTTCTGGTGTAGAACAGTGAGAATTATTTTCCTCCGAGCATGGCAGCACAAAACTCCTCGACCTTATCAAGTAGATCTAAATCTATATTTCAATTTTCTGGTGTAGAACATTCAGAATGATTTTCCTCCAAGCAAACCAGCACATATCTCATAGGGCTGTCATCTGGACCAGCTCATCAGATTCCTTGACTGATATTCTGGCTGAACTAATTTAGTATCTTTCATGTGATCCAGAACCGTGTGAATTGTGTCACCCTCTTCTGTAAGAGTAGTAGAAGTGGAGGGTTAGAAGGAAGCATATTGCAAGAGAAGGACAAAGTTTGAAGAAAGGCGTGCTATTCAGATCCCCACCTCCAATTGCAACCGTTGGTTGATTGGCATGAGCGGTGATCTGTTTGTCATTGGAGTCTGAGATCAAGCCCATGCAAAGATCATCCTTGTGATAGTTCTGTGGCTTACCCAGCAGAGACCTGTGGGACAGACGGTTCCAAACCACATTTGCCAGGCTTGCTTAGGGGGAGCAAGCAAGCCAGGTTGAGGTTGAAACAGAGCTCGCGCCGGAATGGAAATGAAAGGGAAAGGTGGAACATGCACATATGTTCACCTTCAGACCTATCATCATCTTGCTTGGCATTGTCCATTGAGTGATCAGTATTGGCCGATTGCTCATCCGCATCGACATGAGGGCTATTGATGCTTGGATCAAATGCCGCCGTTCCAGGTTAAGCCCACTTGGTGGCACCTTTGGCGGGTGGCTCATATGTTGTTTTCTCAGGTGGGGTCAATCCACCTAGGGATATGTAAGGGTAGAGAGTGCCTTCTGCCTTGATTGAAAGGCATAGATTTGCCCCTGCGTGCCAGCCTTAAACTCATTTAACCTCATCAGTTGTAGTATCAACTAGAAAGTATCCTTATCATTCCATTCTATTCTATTCCTATCTCATCACATCTCACCACAAAAAAAAGTATTAATCATGACCTTAATATTCTTATTACCTAACATTCTTGAGAGACAACACATTTCATCTCTCCCTAAGAAATGAGACACAGAGATCAGCAGAAGATCATTACTGAAAGACATCAAGTGAGATATATCTGATTGGAAGCTCTACAATTTCTTTTCTTTTCTTTTCTTTTTTTTGGTTTGGGATTTTGAGGGGGAATAATAATAAAAAGGAACAAGTAAAAACAAATCATAAATGGACATATAAATAGTTTTTTTTTTTTGTTCTGTGGTGATGTAAAAAGGGTAACTCTTCAATTTTATCACTTAATGGTAAATACAATTAAGTGACATGTGCAAACAGACCACTTTGAAAAATGATCTATTGTTTAAATTTTTTGGACTGATTAAAGTTATTATTTCTACACTTGGATTTCTGTAGCCCATCATACTGTTTTTTGATCCACCCCAACCCATACTGATCACTCACCAAACTATTAACACTATCCTCCCCCCACCAAAAAAAACAAATCAAATCAATCATGAGTGCTCAATAATGGATCTTTTGATATAAGGACAAAAACCGCACAAGCTACATTTCTTAGTTGAAGAAGAATGGTGAGTAGGAGGGACAGACAAATAAAAAGAAGACCCATCGACGAGATGGCCAAACAAGAACTTCTCAGGGATTGGTTCTTGGAGCGCCTGCTTGATCCTGCCATTGATAAACTTCTTGGGATTCAATGTGTGATGTAACCTTTTCTACACTCATCCCAAACAAAAATCACACATATAAGCTTTTGAGGAAGATTTGCAGAAAGGGAAGGGGAGAGAAACGGACCTCATAAGCTTGGATTTCCAGTATCGTTTCTATAGCCAGAGGTTGGGAGGGTAAGCCATGCCACTGAAGCTTTGCTAGCCCAGCCTATTTATTACCCAAAGAAGAAGACAGGACGAGAGAGTGCTCTTTGAGCTTCTCGACCCGCTCAAGATTGTCCGGGGGTGGCACCGTGCGATCCTCCTTTGACGGTTTCAGAGAGAAAGACCAAGAAGGACGAGGGAGAGTTGCGGAGGGTCCTTGGCAATGGAGGTCAGCGGCTTTCAAGTGCCGGCTCTTCCAGTCTCTTCGGCTCCTCCGGTCTCTTCTTCTTCCTCTATTCGGATCATGATTTCTACGGTCACTGATCTCCCGCAAGTGCTGGCCCCATCTTCTTGGGTTGTCGATAATGGCGAATGTCCAGTCGTTGTTGGTGTTGGGGTTGTCTTGGAATCCAGGAGCCGGGCTTTCTCTTTGGCTCTTTTAAGTAGTTCTAGCACTCTTGAATGCTCTTGGTCTTTGTCTTCGAGCGACCGACAGCCCCAAATATTCCATTCATCATCCTGCCGGACGAACGGGTCGGTCCAAGAGCGATCAATAGATTTATTCAAGAGCAATCAACAGATTTATTCACCTGATTCTCTCAAGGCTCCAGCGTCGCCATCGTCCTGATGAGCTGAATGGCCAATTCGGGCAACAAGGCCAGCAGTAGATGAGAGGCGCGGCTGAGGGTGCTTGATGTGCTTGAACAAGGCCCGCGAGGGAGGCTGGCCGATGTTGGACAAAGGAGCTCAGCTGATGGGGGGCGTGGTGCCCGCCCCGCTGGCATCCACCTCGAGGGAGGGACTGTGATCGAGGCGAATGAGCTGAGTGGAGCTCGTGAGCCTGCGGTTGGTCTAATGTGTTCTGGTCTGTTGGGGTGAGGTTTGGCTGCAAAATCCTTCCATCCCAAATGGAGGAAACCTGTGTACACATCTTCCACTTAGAATGGAAAATGGCTGAGTTGAGCTTGCCCAAATTTTTCAGCTCATCCAGCTCAGTCAGCTCTTGGACCCAGCTCATCCAGCTCAGTCAGCTCAAGTCAGCTCCCAGACCCAGCTCAGTCAGCTCTTGGACCCAGCTCATCCAGCTCTGAAATCCAGCTCATCCAGCTCTGGAATCCAGCTCATTCAGCTCTGAAATCCAGCTCATCCAGCTCATCCAGCTCTGGGATCCAGCTCATTCAGCTCTGAAATCCAGCTCATCCTGCTC